GCCATATTAATGTGCAATTTGCTCGGTGGGAATCTGAGGTTGCTTCTGATGTCGATCCTACGATCCCCTGATCGACTTCTGGTGATATTTGGAATTGTTTGCTCTACATGGGTAACATTGTCGAGGGCATCGACAAAAAGATCTTTTTGGTCGCCGCTCGGTGATTTCATGCTGAAGGGGGTGGCGGCCTCGAACGTGATGGTGTCAAGGCACCGGGGTCCAACATGATCAGGGATGCTGCTGACCAACAGTACAAGCCCATGCATGCATGATGCCACACATGCATTCTCACACATGACCTGCATGCAATTCATGTAGACACGCGCGCGCGTGGCAGGATGGTGCTGCTCGCGATGATCGTGCATGCGAAACGAGGGACTATAGCTATCGAACAGCCCAACTCAAGCATACTAATGCGCCACCCAAGGTGCCAATGGTTACTAAGGAGGATTGCCATATGGAGGCAGCGATTCTGGATGATGATGTACGGATCCAGGACGCCTAAGAGAACTTCGCTCTGGGCCAACAAACCTAGTGTCCACAAATTCGCGACAGGGACTTTGACCAAAGCCAAACGAGAAGCCGCTGCCGCCGCCAGCAACGGCTTTCGTCTCGTTCGGCAGCACGTGGACAAAAGCAACAAGAAGCGGTTCACGGGCAACAAGAATGAACTTCGGGAGTCAGCGTTATTTGGCTACATTAATCATGTGGCAAATCTTCTGCACGCCTGCGTGTTGGCATTTGTGCATGCAATCATGATGTGACATTCCACTACCCAGGACTTACCCTGTGGGCTTTGGCATGCACTTTGCCAAGATATTTGAAGACATCAAGTGGGATGACATCAAGAACCGCAAGACTCGTGAGGCATGGATGATGAAGGTATATACACTTTTCATGGGTCAGCTAATTGATTGAAACCTTGCCGAGGCTCCAGGCGACTGCATCCTGCCGCAGCATGTCTTTGATAGACTGGTCTGCGAAGATCCTTGGGCAGACGCGCACATGAAGGATGTGCTGATGTATCTGCAAACAAGCGAGAAGTTGCGTCTTCCTCCAGAATGGAGGTTTGACTTGCAAATGCTGGCTGGGCCATAGTAAATTACCCGAAACTTTACCCTGCACCTGCAACTAGTGAAGTTTTAACGCATTTTGACAAAAGTCAGTGCGCGTAAAGTTGCGTAGAAAAGGCGTAAAGTTGCGTAGAAAAGGCGTAAAGTTGCGTAGGCCAAAAAACCCTGCAACTTTTCGGGTAATTTGCCGGCCTTAGCAGGATTCGATGCCCATGAGAGCCACCGGTTGCAGAAGAAATCCATTCCTGCGCAGAGTTAATGTTGCTATAGGGATGTGCACGCATGCAATATATAAAGCATGTCGACATGTCATCGTGCTTGAGGACCACGTATACAGGGTTTTAGGGCTTGCAATAGGTAGTGTGCCATGGCCAGCCATAGCGCGTCAACTCTCTTTCGTGGTATGTCTTTCATGTCCGAGATGGCGGATGGACTTTTGCATTGCAAGCTTGAAGAGACGGACCTTGATCAAAGGATTCAGGACATGAGATCCATGATTTAAACATCATGTAATGCATGCATGCATGCATGCATGCATGCATGCACATGTAATTTCAGGACGCAGAAAGGTACTTGAACGAGCTGCGCGGCCAGCAATCCTCGCCGGACCAAAGCCAGGACATTGGTACCAGCCAGGATGTGGCTGCAGCGCCAGCGGCGGCGATGCCTGAGTTGGAGGGCACGCAACCGAATGCCTCAATCCCTGATCAACTAGAAGGCGATGATGCTGCAGGGTTGCAGCCTGCGGACCTGGACCCCTACATGAATGCAGACGTTGACCCGTACATGAATGCATCAAATGGTCAAGATGAGGATGTGGAAACTTTTTCCCAAGCCTCAGACTATGCTATGGCCTTGTGGGTTAAAGGATTGGGCGCTGACGCTGAGCGCTCTGGAGACTGCACCCCTACTGAACCTGAAAGCCCAGCGGAAGCCCATGATAAGCATCAGGACATGGAGAAGTTGGAAACCCCCCGTGCTTCCAACAATTGTGGTAAGAATGATGAATGCCAGGCCCATGTAACTTTATGCCATGTTTCCATGTCATGCATGCATGTCATGTGCAAGAATTATGCTAGCTATCGTACCATGTGCATGAGCCATCTGGGCAGGCTGCGAAGATGGCAGATGAGGATGCCTGTGACCCCACCCCTCGCCGCCTGAACTTCTCGCCGCAGGTGCCTATGACATATATATGTGTATTGCATGTTCCTCACATGTACACCATGCTGCCTACGAATTCCACATGCATGCGCGCATGTTAAAGGCCTTGGAGAAAATCGCGGACGCCGATGAGCCGGCTACACCTGCAGCTGGTGCACGTGCCAACCGTGAGCCCAAGAACGACTCGCCAACATCATCTACCAAAACCCCTCCCAGCTCTCGACGAGCGCGGTCCAAGCTGGGCAAGTTTGCGACGCAGGCGCAGGGTATTAACTCACGCAACATGTTTAGATGCATGCGTGTGTGTATGTCGTTGTGCAGTTGTCCAAAGAAAAGCTGGCGGCCCTGGACGCCTGCCTTCGTCGGGTCTGCCAGACCAAAAAAAATGGCCGCTTGGATGTCCCAAAGGATGTTGCCGAGAAGTGGAAGATGGGAGGCGCGCACAGGCGATCTTTGATGAAAGTGCTCATTGAGTGCAAAGGCAACCGTGCAACGCGGCAGCATTTTTCATATACATGCTATAGCTTGTATACATGCATAATCATGCATTGTGAGTGGCAGCATGCATTATTCATGCATGCATGAATGAATGCAGCCTAGGAGCTTTTCAGGAAGACGGTCAGCCACCAGTATTCGAAGTCCAGGCGAGGAAGCCTGAAGGCAACCGACAAGTTCTACACAGAGCACCAGCTCAAGACGGTCGTGAAGCTTGACCCGCAGCTCGATCGCATGGAGATGATAAACAAAGTTGCATGGTTTCAGTTGCATGAAAAAAGCCACAAGCCATAGAAAACCCGCTCGTTTGAGTAGATATCCTACTCAAAGTTGCATGGAAAAGTGTTTGCAGATTCGACAAGTAAGGAAACGTCTTCGGGCCGTGATCAGGTACTGCAAAAGGCCTGAGAACAAGGCTACATGCATCAGGCAGTTACACATGTGCATGGGTGCGAGCTTGTGCGGCCTGCCACACATGTGCACTTTGCATCATGCCATGCATGCTGCAGGAAGGATAAGTACGAGCCCAAGAACCCAGACAAGATCCAGTATGCATATGAAGAGGAAGTGGTAGCCTCTGTCGAAAAGGCTGAGGAGGAGAAGTACACGGAGGATACTACGCTTGCCGAGGGAAATTTTTCGGACCTACCCATCGGCTTGGATGAGTTCGTGGACGGCAGCGGCGATGAGATTATTGAGAGCGAGGAGGATGATGAGGGCCATGAAGCAACCCCTACAGTGAAGCGAAAGTCCGGCAAGAAGAAAGCCCCTGAGGATTTTCAGGAAGAGATGCCTATCGAGGACATCCGCATTTCACCATCATGCATGTATCACACACATGATCACACATGTTGCATATACACATGCCTGCATGCATGCATGCCTGTCCTCTGGACATGCGCTACTGCAGATCGGTGCATTCTTCATGAAGGACATTGCAAGTGTCCCGGAAGTGCTGTCGCAGATCCTCGCTACACAGTCCAAGTTGGTCAAGCTTCGCTGTGATCTTGAGTTGGTAGATAACTCTAAGCCACTCTACTGCATCAAGCTCGGATCCTTTCTATAGCATTGAATCCCGTTGTGATAACAATTGACGTTGTACCTCTGGAACGCATTTATGAACTGCCGAGGGAGTCTGACAAGCTTCAGCTTAAGATTGACGACCTCTCCAGCCTCCACGATGACATCGCCGACTTGAAGGCAGAGTATGATGGCAGAAGGACCATGTCATCTGAGCTGCAGGGCTGCACACATTGCAACATTTCATGCAACATTATAGTCGGTCCATGACTCCTGCGCACATATTCTAAGGATGAAGAAGAAACTGAAAACCCAAGTTGGCAAAGTGGAAGTGCTGTTCTGCCCCGAGAACTGCGTTGCTCTTTATCATGTATCCGATATTTCCACATGTCACGCATGCCATGACTGTACATGATTAGGTGCAGCCGCTGTGAAATGGAAGCGCAGAAGCTGCGAAAGCATCTCCCCTGCAAAGGTGAAATTCATGTCATGCTTGTGTATTTTGGGCGCGTGTTAGAATAAACATGTGTTGCCTAAGGACATGCCTGAAGAAGTCGAATATCCCTGTTGCGGCCCCGAACCCTCCCAAGAAGCGTGGCCCGTCAAAAAATGCAGCGCCCAAGCGTCGTGGCGCGAAAGCAGCAAGGAAGTGAGGCATCAGAGAGGGTGCTCACTGCAGCGGGCTGGACGCCAGCTTTGGTCAGGGGTGAAAGACCTGTAGTCTTCGGTGTTAGAACCCGCCTGTGTGCAATTCGTGCGATGGATTGATATTGTCCGAGCATTCAGCACTATAGCCTACGCAGCGCCATGCGCAAGGAAACCTAACACTCTAGCCATGGCTATGCAAGGACATTACAGATCCATGATGGTATGTGTACCCGCGTGTGGGGGGCCTGATGTTGGACTTCCGACAGTGCCTTGCTGCTGCTCAGAAAAAATCCTGCAAATGTGTGCGCGCTGATGTACATAAAGCATTTCACGCATTAGCTCATGCTGTCTATAGCATGCCCCCTGACCTGACTCCCCATTATAAATGCTTCCAGGTACATCGAAGACTCAGCAGCGGCGGCTGGATCAGAAACCTGGACCAGTGGCTGAAGCTGTGTCAACTGCGATTACCAAGGGGGTGGCCTGGGTGCGTAATGGTATGTCATGTTTATATTTTAAAAAATGCATTTTTAGTTTTTTTGTAGATTATAGGGTTAACACATGCATGTCTATGAGGTGTCCCAAGAAGTTGCTTCGCACATGGTGTCCGCATTCCATGAAGAGATTAGTGCTGCTCTGGGAACGACTGCGGTTCAGAAGCTGAAATCAGGTGCACTCATTCAGAAAGTGGCGAAAGCACACAGCACAGGCCACGCTGGTTCAACTGGTAACATTCTTGCCTCCGCTGGCTTAGCGGCCAATGTGACCATCTCGCAGGTGACCTTAGGTGATAATTTCGCGCATCATTGCATCAAGCCAGCTGATTATCTGCGGGGTTTGGCTGCCCAGAACAAGCTATGCAACCTAACTGGCGGGGACCCCTTCCGAGAAACACTGCTAAGTTTTTGGGACACGTATCACCGAATGGATCCTGATCATCCAGCCCTCGCAGATGGTGTGGCAGCTTGTGAACTTAGTGTGCCGATCCTTTTGTTCGGCGACGAAGGGAGGGCGCTTAAAAAGCAAGCAGCTATGGTCTTGGGATGGGAACCACTCCTTGGGTATGGATGTATGAACGGATGCGACGCAGATCCTGAAGCACACCGCGGCCACAAGCTCAACTTCAGTGGATCTACTTACAAGACCAGAATGCTGCATAGCATCTTGCACAAGCGGTGTTATGGAAAGAAACAGAAGCACCTACTTGATTTGATTCACATCTGGGCGGCTGATCATGAAGAAGCGATGGATGGCATCGATGCCCACCTGGAAGGCAGATCTGTGGTGCTGAAACTGGTCCCCATGGGTTTGAAGGGGGACTGGCCAGCAGAAGTGAAGTTATGTCAACTGGAAAGATCTTTCTATCATGATGCAACACCCTTTGGAAAGGGAATCTGTCATTTATGCATGGCTAATACTTCAGAGTGCCACGACTGGACAACACGTGCGTGGGAAAACACTATGAAGGAAACCTTCCGGCCTCCCTGGGATACAGAGCCAGCACTGGTGAACAAGCTTTGCAGTGGGTTCAGCACCGATTGGGACAAGGCGGCCTTCTGCAAGCTGGATCTCTTCCATATTTGCCATAAAGGCACCATGGCGGAGTTGGCAGGATCTGGCCTAGTGACTTGGACTATATACCTCAATTCATGCAGGCAGAGTTTTCTTGAGCTTTATTTATGATATCTGCCATGTCTGGGAAAATCATATTAGGTCACCTTGCTGGACATGGGTCTCTATCCGCCTGGGGCCTTTGAAGCCAGGATAGCTATGGTGTATTCTGATTTGAAGGACTTTGCAAAAGCCGCTGGGTTGAACCTTCACATGAGCTCTTTGACCCGAACCCTGCTGCGCTACCCGGACTCAAACAGCTTCCCATGCGGGCATCTGGCACTGAGAAGTTACATCTTTTTGCTTTGGGTGTTTTATTAAACAATGCCAAGCAAGCAGGGGAATCTTTACTTCTAGGGTTCATGCATGATTTTCCACCCAGGTCATGCTATAACATGCTAACATGCAGGCGCATGTATAACCATGCACATGTATACATGTCAGGTTCCATAACATGACATGTCACGCTATACATGTGAGGTGTCATGTTACATTCCACAACCCTCAACCCTAAACCCTAAACCCTAAACCAATGCATGTCCTGCGTACATACCATGTACCAGACAACCCAGGACATGGTTCAAGGGAGCAGACACAACTGTGGCCATCAAGTTCTTGGTTCACATCTTGCAGGAGAAGGGCGTTGGACCGGATTCGGATGAAATTCTGCAATGCCTCCTGAAATGTTGCAAGGCGGCCAACAGATTCTTTTCATTGCTGTATCACCAGGAGCTCTGGCTGCCAGTCCGTGTGGCCAGGCTGGTGTCAAAAGCGGGGGGGGAGTACATCAACCGTTACAAGCAGCTGGCGAATGTGGCATATGGGCGTAACTTGACCAGGTATCTCCTCACGCCGAAGCTACATCTGCTCATGCATTGTATACATTCCCTGGACACGCAAATTTCGAACGGGGTGATTATGAACCCGCTTGTGGATTCCTGTCAGATGTGTGAAGACTTTATTAACAAAATCGCTACCTTGGGGAGGAGTGTCCATGCCCGCAAGTTTGATGAGAGCACCTTGAAGAAGTATCTGATTTCCGTGCAGCGCTACTGGTGAAATAAAAGAGTGTTTTTCCAGCGAGATGCTTGCATTTGCTTTCCACATGTGCCACATGCTCAGAACAAAAACAGGCAACTTTATCATAGTTGCCGGGTTCTGTGAAAGTTGCCAACGAAATGTAGCAACAGGTTTTCCAGGGAGGTCGGGGGAGGCCTATAGCCATGTCCACTGTAAACTCACACTCTGTTTGTGAGGTCAAATGACGCTCCTCCTGCTCGACTCGCAGGAACACAATCCCCTCCCAAACATTAAACCCTGCCACCACAACAGCTCATACTTCTCTCTATTCTTCAATGGTATTACCCTAAGGGTCCACGTACCCAGATATTAGGCTTTCAGGCAACCTGAGGCCGTGTTATTTGGGGTACTTGGACCCTTGGGGGTATCAGATTGCGCAGTAGTTGGGTATTAGGCTCACCTGGTATGGGATTTCTGGTGACTGGCCCTGACAGAGGAGGTGGCTTCCCCTGCAGCCGGTTTAGGGCTTGGGGTTTGGGGTCTAGCTACTAGCCTTCATCCATCAGGCAGAAGGCATCTGAGTAGTACTACAGGTAAGCATACGATATGACGCCCCCATATTGAGCAAGATTTCAAATCGTCAGCTTCTTTCCGTTTTCTGGACCCTAACCCTTTAGGATTTGGCCCTCAGAAATGACGGTACCTCGGAGAATGGATAAGAACATAACATGGAAACTCTTATAATATCATGCTAGGCTTTAGACTCTAGGGTTTAGGGCTTGAGGGTATATGTTGGGATCAGAAAAGGGATAAATAGGGATACTACCCCAATAATGGAGCATCAGCTGGAAAAGAAAGTGAAAAAGGAACTGGAATGGAGTATTTTCTGTTTTGCTACAGTTTCCTAGGAGGTCAGTCCGTAACTCGGAAGTTTCCGGGTCCTTTTCAACTGGAGTCCTTCACAAGTAAAGGAGTGTGCTCATTTCGGTGGCCCCCCCAAACCCCCGAAGACCTGCAGTTTTGCAAAACTACCACGTGTTGTGGATGGTTTCGAATTAATTTGGACTGCCTCTTGTGAGGGATGTTAGAATCTCCCTGACGGAGTCCCCACGTGCACTGTAGTTTAAGCTCCTGAAATGCTGGTTTTTCTAGGGGATTTTATAGGGATCATTCTAGTTAGGGCTCACTAACGGGGATACTCAGGAGTTTAGACTATCGCTCATATGTCCCTCAGAATCGTTGCGGCTCTCTCCTTTTAAGAACCTTTGCCTAAACCCTAAATGGTTGAGGGCTCAGGGTTTACCCTGAATTCTAAACAGTACCCCCCCAGCCCTGAATCCTAACACCCCCACCCTGAAACCCAAACCCGAAACCCTAACAACCCCAAACCCTAAATTGTAGTTTCCATGTTCTTGTCCATGCCCCTACATATCCCTATATTATATCCCTATGTAATCCCGATGTCTAGGTATATATATATATATATACACATACACCTCATATGACTCTATATGTGCTACTGTCAATGTTAGGGTTACCACGCGACCATATTATAAGGGTGGACATAGCGGACCTTCTTAATAGTTCAGCATAGTCTCTAGTTTATTACGGAATAAGAAATCCAAGTCCATAAGTTAAAGGGGAAAGAACTATTGACGCATGTCACATAATGCCTGTAGTGCCCCTAGCTTCCATTTCATGTTCCATTTCCTTTCCCGTTTCGTTATCCATTAAGCCCTATGTGTATATAACCCTTATTTGTTTCTACATAACCCCTATGTAACAGTCTTTTTTCCCAATTATCAGGTTTAGTAAGGAAGACGTGACAGTGGACATGAAGTCCCTGTTGCAGTTTAGCATAGGGCCCGACATATTCCCAAATGAGAAATCCATGTCCATTTAGTTAAATATGGAGTAAATATTGACTGTAGCTCATATAGCCCCTATACCTCTAGGGCTCCCAATTATTTACGTAGTCGGCTACTGGACTATGTAACTATAGAATAACAAGAAACCTAGAACCCATCATTTAGACCCATCTTCTAGGTATCTGGAGCCCTAAACCTTAAATCCTAAACGGGAGCCCTTTCCTTGATTATATGTCTCTATATATAACCCATATATGGTCCCTAAGCCCTAAACCCTGAGCCCTAAACCCTACCTAGACCCCAAAAGTAGGCAAAATAATAATCCAAACCGTCTGAAAACAGCCGAAAAGGTTATTATTCTACAATTTTTTGGGGTTCAGGTAAACCCTAAACCCTAAGCCATATATACCAGTCTCTTTTCATAACAACCCGCCATGCTAGGTCCTGGCCAAGAATATGGAGATGCCCGAGCTGTTGGCATCTTTGGCAGCAAGAAAACTCTCCCCGGTCAAGGGTTTAGGGTTTAGGGTTTGGGGTTTAGGGTTCTGGGTTTAAGGCTTAGGGCTCTGGGTTCAGGGCTATGGGTTTAGGGTTTAGGGCTCTGGGTTGAGGGCTATGGGTTCTGGTTTAGGATATGGGGTTTGGGGTAAAGGGTTTTAATTCAGCTAATTCTACCCAGAATAAGCTTTACATGACCGCTGTCTACATCCCCGATCTGCGCTACAGTCTGAACTCCTAGCATCCCCGCTAAGAAGCCCCATGATACGCCCATATATAGTCCCCTATAAAATCCCTTCTAAGGAGTTTAGACTATATCTCACTGGAACCTTGCATGAGTTGACTTAGACAACGCTTCTGGCCCGACAGTTAGGATTTGGTGGGGTCAAGTGCTTAGGGCGAAGTGTTTTGGGTTCAGGATTTAGTCAAAGACTTTAAGTTTGTACCCTTAGTGTTTGTAACCTTAGCTTTGTGGCCCAAATACCTCTATTGAGGAGTATATTTAAGGAGTATTTCCCATGGTTTAGGGCCCCAAACCCAAGGGGTACAAACCCTAAGGGTACAAAGGAGAATTCCCTGATTTAGGAATTACAGACTTTACTGAGTTGGGGAGTTTCTCAGGTAGTCTGGGTTCCTGTTGAGGAACTTAAATCAACTTACCACAGTGAAGAAACTATATCATGTCTCCTTTTTGTTGCAATGAAAGGTTCTCAACAAGATTCTCCGCAAGGACCCTCCAGAGATATCGGGATTGGAAAGTGATTCTGGGAATGCCTGCGAAATATTTTATGTACATACCGTTACAATCAGTTCCCTGAATATTTCTTTTTTCTGTAATCCCCATAACCAGCTAGAATTTCTACCAGTGTTCCTGGGAACTTAGAGATGCTCCTGTTGATCAACTCCCGCTTGTTGAGGGTTTAAGGGCTCAGGGTCGGGTATGGTTGGCGGGTCTCATGGCCTAGAAAACTTGGCCTCCCGCAGACATATATGCATACATATATATATATGTAATAAAATGTCACAGTATATTTTATGTCATGTGCAACATGACCATCCGGCTGTTGCGAACGCGTACCCCTTATCTCAGAATTTTCAATCCAACAGATCCAAGGACACACCTAGCATCAGGGGCTTCAGGGCTTTTAGGGGCCGTTTAATCTTGTGAGTCTTCGGGAACGTATAGGGGTCTTGCGTTCAGGGGGTTGAGGCCCTCATGCCTAACACCCTAAACCCTAAACCTCAAGTGAGTTGTAGTCTAAACTCCTTAAAGGGGGATATATAGGGGATTATATAGGGTACTACTATAGGGGATATTAAGGGGGATACTAGGAGTTTAGACTATAGCTCAAGTGGAAAACGCCCAGGGTGGAGCGTGTGCAGTGCTCCTCAACCTCGCGGTTGTCGACGCGAACCGCCATTATATGGTACAGGCCGAAGGGTTCCGGTTGGTTCAGGATCGGTTTAGGGTTAAGAGTTTAGGGTTTAGGGTGAGAAACGATGGGCTGCGTTTCTTCTCTGATTTCGGCGGCTCAGGATTTGAAATTCCATGCTCAGGGTTACTTTGGTTCAAGTTTGTTTGAATGCTTCTAAGCTAAGAGTTCGCCGGGTTACTACGGGAGTTTGGGGAAAAGGAGGGCTTGCGCAGCGTGTGTCGGTAGAAAGAATAACATCTTTCCTGGATATTGCAATCTGGACCATAGATTATGGGCTTAAGCTTCAGGTAAGTAACTCCCCCAAACTAATTACCACGGAAACCGGGTTAAGGCTTTAGGGCTTCGGGGCCCTAAGCCCCTTTTGTCAGAAAGTTGTAGAGAGCAATTTCCTGCAGAAGCAGTTAAATTGTCGGCTTGTGTTCTTGTAGCGCTGACCCCGTGGTAGGGCCAAACTGACATGAAACACCAAGACGGGCGAGCTACTGTCCTTCTTTACGCCGTGATTAATGCAAAAATGGAGTGTGCTGAGCTCCTGCTCCTTCAGCGCCAATTTAAAAACAGCAGGCGCATATATGGTAGTGTCCATGTATAGGAGGACCCGGTGACCCAACTATACACAATAAGTTACTATAATCATAATCATAAGGCATCCCTAATCTTGGGAAACCCTCATGTCCTTCTAGGCAGTTGGCAAGAGTGACTGGAGCCCCCTTGCTCTTCCAGTACCCACAAAGTCGGTGTCACATGGAGAAATCTTAAGATTGTGGACCATAATGCCATAATCTCTGTGTAATTCTTACAAAGCCAACAATTTTAGAGGGCCCTTAAATCCCTAAACCCTAAACCCTGCCCATCCAGCTTCAGGATGGGACGTTTACAAATCATTGGCCCTGTATGGGGTTTCTCCAAGGTGTCTTGTGTAATCTAAAGGCAGCATCCCCCGTGTGTATCCGCAGTGCCCAAAGCCTGAGAAACTCCGATAATACATTATACCATGCCTATACTGTACATGCTATACTGTACCTGTACCCATGCCTATACCTATACCGACACCCATACTTTTTAAGGAGGTGGCCCCGGTTGCATAACTTTACATGTCTGAAGTGTTGTACATTAGCCACTTGGGTTTGTAGGGACTCTGTATGAATCATTTGTGCGGCTCACTTAGAGTTCTAAACCCTAAACCCAAAATAGGAGTCTGGAATCCCATGGCCAAATCGCTGTGTCACCCCTGCTT